TGGCGTCGGCCAGTCCATTAAGGATGGCCTCTTTAATAAACTTTTCTAAGATTTTCCCTGGGATAGAAATCAGGCTGATGGGCCTACAGTTAGCCAGATCCACTTTCCTCCCTTTCTTGAAGGTAGGCACCACATTGGCCTTCTTCCAGTCTTCAGGCACTACACCAGAGTGCTAGGAGTTTTCAAAGATCCGTGCCAGAGGCTGGGCTATGATGCTCGCCAGCTCCTTGAGTACCCTGGGGTGTAGATTGTCAGGGCCGGCTGACTTGAAGGTATCCAGCTTCTCAAGGTGTTCCTTCACAAGGTCAGCATTAATGGAGGGCAGGGGATCTCCCTCATCCGGACCACCCTGTCCCGTGGTGGGCATGGGCGTCCCGTGGGACTGTTGAAAGACCGATGCAAAGTACCCATTTAATAGGCTGGCTTTTTCCTGGGAGTCAGTTGTCAGCTGTCTGTTAGGAATCACAGTACTGCACATTCTGAAGCACTGTTAAGTATAGTTGCTATAATAAACTAAATGGTACATTGCAGCATCCCTAGATCCCGGAGAAAATACAGAATTTCTTCTAATAGGTTACCTGGGGAAGTAGAAACTATTTTCTAAGGTGTGATGCATTACAATCCAGTTTAGAGAGTGCACTTCATGGCATGGAACTCACTTGTTCATGCAAGATTAGGAGTACTAGACTAAAACACTCATCACAAGTATTTTTACATGTGTTCTGGGGGGTGGGATGATTTAATTAAAGCAGCTCTCTCTTGTATATCAGCATCCCCACACTTCAAAATGATGGCGGGGGCACTTTAACTAATTCTATTTCTAAGACTGCATTCTAAAGCATTATAAATAATGTTGGTATACTAGAGAAAAGAAAATTGTCAGGAAACATGTGATGAAGTCAATTCACAGCTGTATAGTGGTAGAATAATTTCAACAGTTCAAAAACCATCCGTGCATAGCCTGCAATGACTAAAGATGGTCTTCCCAGCAAGAATATTCTGGTACTTCATTACACTGGGATAGCTGATGTCCAGCAAGAGTCTCATTTAATTCACAAAAGCAACTCTCAAATAAAAGTGAGTTGAAATTTCAAGGCACAAAAGTTGAAAAAAATGCAGATATATGCTCCAAGTTATTGAAGCAATGACATTTTAATCACTCAGATTACTATAAAAGAATTCAGTGTGACAATTTTCTTCACCATTACTATGAATTACAGCTAATACTTACCCTTACTAATTTATCTTTAAAAAAAAAAACTGCTTTGCAAAATCGTTAGGTACTTTTAACACACACTTGAAGGTTTCAAAATGTATTATTTCTAAAGCTTTACTTACTTTCACCTTCCTGTAGCATTTTCAACAGCTGTGCATTTCTTGCTTTTACTTCTTTATACTTTGCCTAACATTAAAGAGATGTAAAGACAATTTATTTACACTACAAATGGGTCTCTTTAAAAGCAGCTTTTCATGAAGTTGGACTTGCAAACTGCTTTAACTGGATTGTATGAGTTATACAGGGGTCCTATTACCTATTTAATTAAATTAGAATCAAGTATATGGGGGAATCCAACATAGAAATATTGATTTAAACCAGGGCTGTCTCCAACTGGCACCCCATGGACCACATCTGGACCACATCTGGCCCCCAAGGGGCTAACCTGCGATTCCCCAGGCTCTCAGTCTTCCCCATTGCTCTCCTGTTACTGCTACTGGAGTCTCCAGGTTCCCCCTCCCTTGTCCAGCTCCAGCTGTCTTCCCCTGCTCCTAGGGGGGTGGGGAGGTGTGAGAGTGGCCAAGGGGAGGACCCTGCACTGCATGGGGGTAGTGGTGCGGCACAGCGGGGAGAGGAAGGGATGGGGTCTGCACAGTGCAGTGCAGGGGGAAGGAGAAGGATATTTAGATTCACAACTGCCCTACGTTTTGTGGCTCTTCCTTCCCCTCCCTTCCCACAAATCCAGAAGCAACAGACGATCATACTATGGTGAGACCCATAGAGCTGCTGTGGTTGAGGCCCTGTGCTATACAAATATTAAGGGACATGGTCACTGCCCCCAAAAGACTTGCAGTTTAAGATCCTGCTAATCATTCCAACCCATCAGATGTATTAAGTTACCTCTTCAAAAATAGGTAGCTACTTCCCATGTTTGGTCACCAGTGCCAATCCTGGCAGGTTAATTTTTCTCTAGTTTTACCTACGTCTGTGTTTTCTGCTGTGTTATTTTTTCCTCTCCACATTTCTATGTCTTTCACCCATATTGTCCTCAGGAAAAATAGAAAGTTTTCAATGTTGCGATAAGCTGTCACACTCCACTTGTATACCAATCTTGTCACCCAATGTTAATTTCATAAAGCTCCATCCTGCAAGGTTAGTTGTTACAACCTTCAAACTTACTCTAAGGTTTTATAGATGGAAGAGCCAACAGCTAATTAACAGGATGCCAATTCAGTTGTATGGCAGCAGAAAGAACACAGCAAGCACTTACACTGAAATGGGTAGAAGATATACAACAGGAAAACACCCTCAATCTCTCTATGCAAGTGTACTAAAATGCCATCCCACCTGCCACGCTTTGAAACATTTATTTCTAGTTTTAGTTCTAATTTAACTGTTATAATAGTTAATTCTTCAAAACTAACAGCTAAGTAAAAGCTGTCAGACAACCTTTGTAACATCACATTAACATTAGCCTACAAGTCTTCCAAAATAGAAACCCTAAGAATCCTTGTGCATTTTATTTACTCTAATCAACGGCACTCTAGGATGTGAATAGAACATGTAGGAGCAGCAGCAAAAAACATGAAAATAAAAATTATATTTTAATAAATTTGGATTTGAGAGTCCAGCCCTGATGCACAGTGTCAGTAGCTACTAACTTATTAATAAATTCATTTCTTATTAACCTACAACTGGAACTGATGCTCAGTATTTTAGTCAAGTAATGTTTTTTATATGAAGTTCAACTGTTTGGTAAACAAGATATGCAGCTTATACATCTGTTCACTTTTATTTACACAAAATTGTTACCTTTTTACTTCTGCTCACTCCTTTCAAGCAAGAAGGCATAAAAATTGGGTTGAAGGGCCTAATAATAAACTCTGGCACTTGGTGCTTTACTCAACTTTAAATCTTTGTTGTGAAATAATGTCACTTCCTCAAACTTCCATCCTTGCTGCTTTTTATCATTTTTTAAATGTGCTAGTACCCGCTATTGATCTTATTTTCCAATCTAGGAACTTAAGAAATTTCTCATCTTGTCTTACATACAACAGTGCTATGGCATTCAGTACAGATTCATTTCACAAGTGAAAAATATTGTTTCTAAGCTTTGTAAGTTTGAAGGAAGGGGTAGAGCAGCATTGTGAAACTCCATTTCAGTGCTACTAGAGTTAAAAGGCTGCCCTTATACTTCAGTAAGTATAATTTATTTTGGACAGTTAGATTGATCCATAAACTTTATGATCTTAATAATCATGTTAAAAATTAGTTAGCTACAAAGAACATTTGAGAAACTGTGTTTTTTAAATAGGAAAAAAACTGCTCCTGGATACCTGGCTTCATTACCAAATACAATTCCTAGATGCTGGTCTTACTTAAAAAAGCAAGGCCAATCCATGCAGTATCAGAGAATAACTTTGGAGAGATATGCTCTGGAAAGGAAATATTTTTATGGCCATGACAAAGCACCTGTTCAGACCAGTCACATTTTAATAAATGCTTTGGCTAATTAAATGTGTAGAAAAAAATTAGCTTCTCCTAGTAGTAAGCAAAAGGCAATCAACTACATACCTCCCATTGAGCAATTATATCCTTCAGCTGCTGAATTTCAGCATCTTTCTTTTCAAGTTCTAACTTCAATCGTTCTGTTTTTCCATCTTTCAAAATACCCTCCTACAAACAATCAACCACAGAATTTTAAGTAATGATACCTATGTGAGAATTTTTGCCTTACAAAATAATTATTTTTAGTTTTCAAGAATTCAGATGCCCTTGCCTGCACTTAAGTAAGGAAAATGATATTTTGTTAACCCGGTTACTTTGTTACAATAATTTAAACGCCAAATTTGTGCAAAACTGTTTCCCATATTTGCTTGGCCATGCACACACAGAATATAAGACAGTAAGATGCCTCATATAAAAATGCTTACATACTAGAGAATACCTGAGAAACATAACACAAATATGACATTCCTTTATGCAAAACTTTCATTTAAAAATGTTGTTTAAATATTATAAGATGCCTGCACATGGCACTTGAAAAATCCTTTTAAGACCAGTTTAACAGCATTAAAGCCTTAAAGAAAGCATACTCTACGGAAGGGTAAAGCAAAACCAGAAGAATGGAAAGAGTGCTCTAAGCTTTACTTTCTGGATTCTGTTCCTTCCGTTGGAAAACCAAACAGAGAATCTGATAAATAATCTAAGACTTTTAGGATATATTAAGTGTCTAAAATCTCTATGGCAAACCCAAGTCCACTACTGAAAAACAACTATGCCCACTCATCACTCTTGCTCCACATGCATCGTATGGTCACTTTCTGGAACATTTTCAAGATCTTTTTCAGGTGTACTTCTGATAGCTACCCTAGGCATACCCATCCCCAGTCTGCAGGTGACCACACTTTTTTCATCATGCAGTGCATACAGAGTAGAAGCAAGCTGTTTTTCTATCAGCAGACTTGGGGTCACTGCAGAAATGAGAGACAAACCAGAGGTATTAAAATGTTTACACACTTGAGTGTCATCCAGCTAAGAACTCCGTTTTTATAGAAGCTGTTAGAAAAAGCTACTCTTAACCAGCACACTGGTCCTTGTTGTTTATAATGTGTTAAACCAAGGGTGGGCAAAATGGCAGATCTGGTCAGTGGTTCTACTTCATTTCCCAGCATCCCCTGCCCACGTTGTTGCAGCTGGTTTCTATGGAGACCCCAGCAGCAATGGGGCCATGACAGCACAGGGCCAGGGTTTCCATGGAGACTGGCTCCAGCAGTGCTGGCAGGGCACGCGGCTGGGCAGAGAGCTGCTCTGGGGCAGGACCTGGGATCTTGTGGCAGTGACAGCATGGTCTGGAGCCAGGGCAGAGCTGTGACCCACTGCCTGCATGCCCCGGTTCTGCCCCAGCTCTGGACCACACCATCACCACTGCAAGATCCTAGCCTTGGTCCCAGAGCAGCTCCCAACCCAGCTGTGTGCCTTGCCAGTGCTGCTGGGGCCAGTCTCCATGGAAACCCTGGTCTCACACTGTCATGTCCCTGCCACTGCTGGGATCTCCATGGAAACTGGTGGGCAGGGGCTGCTGGGAAGTGGAATCCACTGTGGGCCCAATCTGGCCCACGGGGCAGACTTTGCTCACCTCTGTGTTAAATCACACTACGTCATTTTAAGAATCAACTAGCTTTTTGATGTTTTAAATAAAAGACAGGCAGAATGGAAGTAGGTTTGGAAAATAATTTTTTGTTTTGATTTTTTTTAGGCATCAGAAGCAAGGCATTTCAATTTAGCATTAAAAAATGACTGGCTTCTGCATAGGATGTTAAGGTGGACTATAAACAATATTAAGTTGTCCTTTCTCCACATTTTTTGTTTTCTTGAAAAGATTAGATATAAATCAGCAGATCCAACAATCTTTTTTTTCTGAAGAGAAATTTTTGGAAGATGTGAATAGTGAAGTGACAATATTGTAACCTGAGCTTCAGTTCTCTCACTGGGGTGCGAGGAAGAATAAAGATCTAGAATAAAACAAAAATAAATATTTGTGTTCTAATGTGTAGATAACAGCAATGCTTAAATTTTTTTTTTTTTTTTAAAAAGAGTCAAATCATGACAAAATCCCTTTGCTAACATTGAATTCATGTTAAAATATGGTATCTTCTTCTACTTTGAGCTTTCTCACTGTAGGAAAAAGAAAAACTACTTGTGAGAGCTAGAACCAGCCTGCAAAAAGCAGGGGATTTTAAGAACTTGAATGAGCAGTCTGTTTATGAACTTCCCTTCCCTTCGGGTCTTTGTCATTTATTCTTCCTGTCTCCTTACTTATTACAGCATTAGACTTGGCAGCCTCATTTTGGTTATTATATTTTGTGCCCCCATCCCTGCTTCTCTGACCAATAAACAATTTTTAAATGAAGAAGTCAGAAGATGCATCTATAAATTGTGTTTGCTGAATATGACTCGAATTTTAAGAGTTAGATGTCTCAAGTTAAAAGACAAAGTTACTTAAACTCTGCATTTTGTTTCAGTTATCCACCAAACAAACATTCATTCTGCAATTGTACATGCCTGACTATGTTCATGAGATGCACAGTTATCCATTCCATTGTAATCGGTGAGCTGGTCTCTCCTTTTTTCTCTAATAAGTATTTTGTGAACGTCATCCTCCAATCTATTGAAGAATCCTCCATCATGCAATAAAGTATGGGAAGAGCTCAGTTCCTGTCAAGAATTGACTTCATGATTTTTCTCTGTTCGAACACAAGTCAATATTCAGCTAAACAATGACATCTTAAAGTTACAGAAGTGCACAAAATCCAGGAGTCACTTTCTGCTTTTAGTCAACAGGTTCCCTCCGCTACAGACTTGAGAACTAATTTTCACCTTGGAGGACATTTTGCTAAAAACTACAAACACCTGAGAAATGAAAATGGATGTTTGATAGTTAAAACAAACAAACAAACAAACAAACAAACAAAAAAACAACGGAGTTAATACTTCTGTGCAGTGTCCTAATTAGATACTTCTAGTCTTCTTTTTGATATGGATTATTCATTTTTTCATTCCTCTAAAGGGACTATGCACTTTGTAATCATATTTTCTTCATACTTGCAATTGTATTTTCTTAGTATGTTTGTTTAAACTTCTTGTATTACATCTATAAAAATTTCAGTAACATGCTTTCAAATCTAAGTTGCACAAACAAAATTTGCAAGCTCATATTTGAAAGCATAAACAGCAAAAGGGCATGCTCAAGTTTTTCAACATTAAAACCATCAATATATTGTTGAAGAGCCTGCATTTCATCACAAAGGTTTACAGGCAATAATTCTGGCAACCAGGTTAGAAAATGTATTTCTGATTATCACTGTAGAAAGTGACTAGGTATTTGTATCCCAAAACTTACTTAGTAACTTCTTTCTACATACAAAAATCTCTTTAACCTTGCTGAAGATAGGGCAGGGTGACACCTTAAAAATCCATTCAGAAACACATACGCTTTCATAAGCAACAGCCTACTTTGTCAAATCTTTATTTAACTTCTTGATGGGTATTGTAGAATGCTGTGTTAATGTGTTTAATAAAAAAGATAAGTCTTACCTCATGTCTTTTTGTCAGGTGATCTGAAAAGAAAATACAAGGAAAAAACATGAGAGAGATATTAAATTGGCTAATTTAAATATATAATTCACTATGAGAGGGAGAGGATTAAAAAAAAAAGGGTGAAAAATCCATAGCAGTTTTTCAGCATTAGTACTCATCTCTTCAAAGCTCTACAAAAGTATTAAGTAAAGAGAACTGTAAGTTTTACAGTTTATTCCTAAACACTGCTTCTGGCCAACCTTTTAGGACATGCAAGAGAAAACAGCATCAACATTTTTAAATGCAATAAACTCTACTGCTCAAGCAAAATTATTTCAATACAGACTGCAGACTGTATTCAAGTTCTAATATATTTACCTCTGTAGAATTTGTATGCTTTTCAGTATATAAAAAAGTGACGTGCCTAACAAATGTAGTCTATTCATTTTTTCATCTTACCCACAGGTATATTTTTAACTTGTCACCCCTCAACATTTAATAAATACTGGAAACTTAAATAAGTATCCTGATTTTCTTTTTAACCTGAACTTTTGCTTCAGTATAAAACACTTTCTCCCAATTTCATCCCATTTTCATCACTTTGCTGAAAGCAGGTATTGCTGCTCTGAAGACAAAAACAAGTGCTCTAGTACCCAGCAAGCATCTGAACAGCTGTTGAAAGTAAATTCCTTGGGAATAAAAAAAAAAAAAAGCAGCTGTTGCATCCTAGAAATATCTGGGAAGTTGAGGCAATTCAGAAGTTCAGGGGAAAGGAACACTTAGTATAGCCAAAGAAGAAACCCTTTTGTGACGTTTCAAAAAACAAACCAACAAACAAAAAAATCCAAAAACTTGGGAGCCTTTCCTTGGTTCAGCTTGAACCATTAAGCATGCTGCATGGACCAGCACCTGGAAGCAGCTTCCCTTTCTACTCCTCCCATCACCAAAGTGGATTATGCCACATGGTATCAAACTTTTTATCATGTAGAGATATTAGACATTTTTGTTTCAACTTACTTGTTCCAGCACCCATCAGTATCTATTGGTACTAAACTGAGACTGGAAAAATGCAGTGTTTCATCACCAGGGATCCTGGTTTTCCATTTAAAAAAATCTCAAATTCTCTCATTTAAAAAAAAAAAACCAAAACCCAAATTCTCTGATTAAAAAAACCCTAAAATACGCATTTTCATATGATTAAAATGAAATGACTCTCTTTCTCTCGCATCATCTCTCTCAGTTGAAAGGGTTGATACATTTACAATTTTAAAGCAATAAGGAAGCCTACCAGTGCCTCAATCATTATAATAAAATACACTCTAAATAACTATATGCTTTGGCATTTGATTTTGTTTTTTCTTATCATGAAAATCAGAGCTCCCCCTGCCCCCTTCACTAACCAGGATGTGGGTCCAACCGCGGCTGTCCCCATCACTAAGCAGCCCTGATATGCTGATGCTCTACTCCTGCCCATGCCATTGCCCCTTACTCCCGACCCACAACTTTCCCAGCCCAGCCAATGCCCCTCACTCCACATCCAAACCCCTTGTCCCTGCTCATGGTCCTCACTCCTAACCCACAGCCTCTTACCCCTTCCCCCCAGAAAGCCCTAATAGCAGAGGACCCCCAGCTGCCCCCCACCCTGCCAAGCCCCGTGTAGACTCACAGGATGGTGGTCTGCAGGGACATGGTGTGAAGGGCCTCCAGCATGAAGTGAATGTATTGTATCCCATGCAGAAGCACATGCAGTGGCTGGGAAACCAATGCTGCCCTGTACCACTGGCTGTGCTTGGGGCTGCAGCACAGCAAGGAGGAGCAGTGTGGCACTGCACAGCAGTAGTGTTAAGCTGCGCATGGTTCTGGCCCAGGTCATGCTGAAGGCAGCAGGAGGAAGGCAAGGGGGTTCCGGGTGTTCTCCATCCCATCCGGGCTGGAACATGGTGGCTCCGGCTCACACGGGCGGCAGTGGAGTGAGTCTGGCTCCAGTGTGGGCTGGAGGGAAGAGCGGGGGATTCCTGTGACACCCCCTGCCTTGGGCTGGGGCTCCCATGTTGCACCAGGTGGCCTGGCCATGGTCATGGCCCTGGTTCTGTCCCTGCTTCCCTTCCCCCCAGGCAGCATCTCCTAGTCACCCAGCCCCTGCAAGCATGGCCACCAGCCCCAGCACTGCTGGCCATGACATACAGATCCCCACTGCCCGCTTCCCTCACTGGAGGGGCGGGCACCTCTGAGCAGGCCCCACTGGCAATAGTGCAGAGCTGGGCTTCCCAGTGGCACTGAGCACTGCCTCAGACCCCATGCCCTGCCGCAGCCCTGGTGCCCAGGCATCCCACAAAGCTGGCAGCAGAGGCAATCCGAGCAGGGTGCAGGGCCCAGGACAAATCAGCCCAAATCTTCCTCCTGGACCTGACGGGGGGGGGGGGGGGGGGGGGGGGGGGGGGGGGGGGGGGGGGGGGGGGGGGGGGGGGGGGGGGGGGGGGGGGGGGGGGGGGGGGCGGGCGGGGGCG